TATTGAATAGACTGTATTTACCCCATTGTATGTTCTTGCCTTTGTCAAATATTAATTGACCATATAGGTATGAGTTTATTTCTGGCCTCTTGATTCTGTTCCATTTATCAGTGTGTCTCTTTTTATGCCAGTACCACAGGCTGTTTTGATTGCTATAGGCTTGTAGCATGGTTTGCTATCAGGTAGCATGACGCCTCCAACTTTATTTTTCTTTCTCAAGATTGCTCTGGCCATTCGAGGACTTTTGTGGTTCCATATAACTTTTAGATTATTTGTTCTAGTTCTGTGAGAAATGCCATTGGTATTTTGATAGGAATTATGTTGAACTATAGATTGCTTTGCGTAGTATGAACATTTTAATGATGTTACTTCTTCCTATCCATGAGCATAGTATATGCTTCCGTTTATTTGTATCTTCTTCAGTTTCTTTCTTTAGTAACTCATAATTTTCTGAATAATTTACCTCCTTGGTTACATTGATTCCTAGGTATTTCATTCATTTTTTTTGAGGGATTGTTTTCTTAGTTTCCCTTTCTGCTAATTCATTATTAGCATATAAAAATGCAACCAATTTCTGGACATCTATTTTGTATCCTGCTACTTTAGTGAATTCATTTATCAGTTCTAGTAGTTTTTTGGTGGAATCTTTAAGGTTCCCTCTCTGTATTATAGTATCATGTCATCTGCAAATAATGATAGTTTTACTTCTTTATTTTTAACATTTTATTTTATTTTTTATATATCTTTATTGACTTCAGGGAGAGGGCAGCAGAGGGAGAAATAGAAACACCAATGATGGAGAGTCATTGGGGATCGAGCCCACAACCCGGGCATGTGCCCTGACCGGGAATCGAACCTCGATCTCCTGGATCCTAGGTCGATGCTCAACCGCTGAGCCACGCCTGGCCAGGCGATAGCTTTGCTTCTTCCTTTCCAATTTGGGTACCTTTTATTCTTTTTGTCTGATTGCTGTGGCTAGGACTTCCAGTACTATGCTGAATATGAGTGGTGAAAGTGGACATCCCTGTCTTGTTCCTAATCTTAAGGGAAACACTTTCAGTTTTTGTCCATTGAGTATGTTAGCTGTAGGTTTGTCCTATATGGCCTATGTTGAGGTATATTCCCTCTACTCTCACTTTACTGAAGGTTTTTATCATAAATGGGTGCTGGATTTTGTCAAATGCTTTTTCTGCATCTATTATATGATCATACGCTTTTTATCTTTCATTTTGTTCATGTGGTATAGCATGTTGATTTGCGGACATTGTACCAAACATGCATCCCAGGAATAAATTCTGCTTTATCATAGTGTATGATGTTTTCAATGTATTTCTGAATTTGGTTTGCTAATATTTTGTTGAGGATTTTTGCATCTATGTTCATCCGGGATATTGACCTATAATTTTCTTTGTTGTGTCTTTATCTGCTTTTGTATTTAGGATAATGCTAGCCTCGTAAAATGAGATTGGGGGTCAAGTCTTTCCTCATCTTAAATTTTTTGGGATAGTTTGAGGTGTTAGTTTTTCTTTGAATATTTGGTAAAATTCACCTGTGAAGTCACTTTTGGTTCCAGGACTTTTGTTTGTTGGGAGGAGGGAGAAACATCGATATGAGAAACATCGATTGGCTCCTCCTGCATGCACCCCAATGGGGAATCGAGCCTGCAGCCTGGGCATGTGCATTGACTGGGACTTCAACCGGCGACTTTTTGGTGCATGGCATGACGCTCAACTGAGCCACATTGGCTAGGGTTAGGGTTGGGAGTTTTTGATTACTGCTTCAATTTTGTTGGTTGTAATTGGTCTGTTCAGATTTTGTTTCTTCTTGATTCCTTTTTGAAAGATTGTATGTTTAATGGATTTATCCATTTTGTCCAGATTGTCCAATTTCTTGGCATATTTTTTTGGTGTAATATTTTCTTATAATCATTTGTATTTCTGTGGTGTCAGTTGCTACTTCTCTTTCATTTCTGATTTTAATTTTGGGGGGGGCCTCCTTTTTTTAAAAAAAAATATATCTTTATTGATTTCAGAGAGAGGAAAGGAGGGGGAGAGATAGAAACATCAATGATGAGATAGTCATTGATCCGCTGCCTAGCCCGCAACCCAGGCATGTGCCCTGACGGGGAATTGAACCCCAGTCTCCTGGATCCTAGGTCGATGCTCAACCGCTGAGCCACGCCTGGTAGGGCCCTCTGTTTTTCTTGATGAGTCTGGTTAAAGGTTTCTCAGTCTTGTTTATCTTTTCAAAGAATCAGCTCTTGGTCTCATTGATCTTTTGTATATGTATTTTTTAGACTCTATTTCATTTATTTCTTTTCTGATATTTTTTCCTTCTTTCTATTCACTTTGGGCTTTGTTCTTTTTGTAATTCCTTTAGATGTAAGGTTAGATTGTTTGAGATTTTTCTTGTTTCTTGATATAGGCCTGTATTGCTATGAATTTCCCTCTTAGGAATGCTTTTGTTGTGTTCCATTAACTTGGGGTGTTTTTTTCATTTGTCTCAAGGTAACTTCTTTTTTAATCCTCACATGAGGATACTTTTCCCCCACTGCTTTTGAGAGAGATACAGATACTGATGTGAGAGAGAAACATCAATTGATTGTCTCCTGCACGAGCCCCAACCAGTACTGAGGATCCATCCTACAACCCAGGTATGTGCCCCTGACTGGAAATTGAACCTGTGACCCTTCTATATGCAGGCCAATGCTCTAACCACTAAGCAACACCAGCCAGGGCTCAAGGCATCTTTTGATTTCTTCCTTGAGCTGTTAACCTATTGTTTAACATGTTATTTATTTAGCCTCCATGTGTTCGTATTTTTTCTCTCTCTATTGTAATTGACTTCTAGTTTCATCCCATTGTGGTCAAAGATGCTTGATATGATTTCAATCTTCCTAAATTTACTGAGACTTGTTTAGTGTCCTAACATGTGGTCTATCCTGGAAAATGTTCCATGTGCACTTGAAAAGAGCGTATATTCTGCTGCTTTGGGGTGAAATGCTCTGAAAATATCAATTAACCCACCTGGTCTAGTGTATCATTTAAGGCCACTGTTTCCTTGACTTTTTTTGTCTGGAAGATCTATGCATTGATGCAATGGGTAAAATCCTCTATTATGACTCTATTATATAATGTTGATCTCTCCCATTATGTTCATCAAGATTTGCTTTATAGATTTAGGTGCTTCTGTGCTGGGAGCATAAATGTTTACAAGGATTATATCCTCTTGTTGGGCTGCCAGGTCCCTAGTTAGTAATGCTCATATAACCTTACGCAAGTGCCCATCTCAGCAGGATAACATTAATATCCAAGTTCCATAAGAGCTTTAACACTGCCTTGTTCATCACTCTTCTACTAATGGTTGGCATAGAAAAGGCCTTCAATACACACACATAACTTACCAGTTAAAAACTGTTACATATACTATCAAAGGCAGCAAACTACTGTAAATATCCTGTCACTTTTGAGGAAAAGGATCTCAAACATGAGATGGCACAGGCTTGATGACTAATGCCTGTTTGCTGCAATTTTTACACTGATGAAAGGGGATGGAGTTACCAGAATCTCTCTCTTAAAAACAAGTTAACTGACCTAAATCTCCTCCAAATGACTATCCCTCAAAGATTCCTGCCACACTTTTCCTAGATCAGGCTTCTGAATTCTACAACCTTGATGTCAGTGTTCCTTCACTTTGCTTTATAGTAAAAACAACCAGTACTTATTAAAAATGAAACCTACTTTCTATAAGAGTAATGTTAGATGAATATTGCAACTAGATTTTTATATACTTGTACATTATTTTGTTTCATTATAACCTGACTTTCCTTTGAATTAGCTATCAAGCCCTTAAGTCAAATTTCACTCACTTTATTTCATTTACAGCATCTTCTTGGGAATGTGAATTGCCATTATGACAATTAATTCCAAGCCATAATACCTATTTTTATATCCTCCCTATGTCCACATATTTTAACTGGAGAAAAGAACAGGTTTAACCAGCAACTTTGATACAGTTGCTGAATGAATAGACAAATATAGTAAGATTTTCAAAGCTCTAACACATCCCCATTCTTCATGCTCTGGTCAACAAAATTAAAGGGATATTTTATATGCTCAAGATGTGTTCATAGGCAGTGTATTTCCATCACTATAATATATAAATTATCAAATTGATAATACATTTTGTAAGATAGTAAATTGTACTAAGAAAGTGATTGCACGGGCCTACTGAACTTTTGAAATCTAATTCAGGTTTGGATTATAACCACCTTTAAAATTCCATAACCTGATATTGGATTCAAATTAGAAAAACATCTAGGAATAATAATCTAGAATCCTCAGTGGCTTGCACGTCTGTCACATAAGCAGGACTAGGTAACTTGATCTAGTGAGCAAGGCCCTATACCAGAAGTCTGCAGACAGTGGAGAATTTACAAATATTTGTGGATGTCTAGCTGTTAAGGCGCCAAGGACTAGATTCTCTCTGTTGCAGCTAAGCATGACATCTACCCAATATATTATCTTTAAAAAAACTCTTGATATAACCCAGTGACCCCTTACCTCCTCCTATTCTTCAAGCTAATGGGCAACTAGTTTAAGACTCTGGCTTTACAAGATAGCGAGTGGTATAAGTAATCCCACTGGTAACCAGACTTCTTTTCTTCTCATAAGCTGCTGCCAAGTAAATGGAATCTCATTTTAAAAGACCCCATAAATAAAATATTTCATTAGGATTAAATACAAAATTATTGTGTTAAGATTTCTATGTAACCAGGCTCCTTAACAATGTCCTAAACACTTGTAGAACAAAAAATTTCACTATCTTTAGTTTACTGAAACTGGTTCTGAATGAATCAAAACATATGTTATGTAGACCAGAATTTCAAATTTATCCTCATTTTAAAAGTAGAAATGCATTATACTTAGTGTAATTAACAGAATGGCTATCAGGAAACTTGTCATTTATATATTAAGCAATATATTTTACATTCAGGAAACTTAATTTTATCAAATGTCCTTTAATTTCAGACAACAATATGATACATGTTGTATAAGAAGCACACAACAGTTTTGCAGTACAATTTCAAAGTGTATAGAAATTGGAATACAGAAGTTAAACACTGGTGTACTGACAGCATTTGTGAACTTTGGAAAAACTGCATATAAAACTTAGAATCCAGATATTAGCCAATCTGAAACTTTACTTCCTAGAATATAAAATGATACTTTGAGAGGCAAAATATTTTTTTTTTACTAAACAAACTATATAAACATTTAAAATAATCATTAAAAACTCAACTTTAGAATTTATAAAGATTAGCTATAAAAATATATTGGCAGTCACTTTTATAAATGTACCATTCACTACATTACAAAATAGTCTCTAACATAAAATTGCTTTAATAACTGTACTATTTTAGAATCTGATAAATCTTACATTAAATCGATTATAAAATCTTGGAAAACTTTGGTATACGTCTTCAGAAGGGTTTTAAAAAATACTCTATCACCTCAAGGGCCTGTAAACATTCCATTCTATTAAAGCACAACAGAGTAAGTAATGTATATTCAACTGCTCAAAGAGTACAGAATCAAAAAACAATCTGCTATATATTTGTAGAAAATCACCATTCCCAGAATAACCCAAAAATAAACTGTTTAAAAGTGTCAAACTTTTAAACAGTTTTCTTTCCATTCTGATAATAAATGTTATAAAAACACCACACCCCATTCATGTACCTTAGACGCCTGTTAGGACAAGGCCTCAAAAAATAGTCTAACCCAGTCTTCAAAACGCTTTCAAGTCCAATAAACAAACTTAAAAACCCATTTAAAAGACTTGACAATAGAACAAGTATATATAATCAGAACACATAATTATTTATATTTAGTTATGTATTAGTTTTTCTTTTATATTGGTAATTTAGAATTTATTGGCAGAAAAAAAACACACACACACACACACACACACACACACAAATTGAAAAAAGTAAATTTTAGGAAACAGTATGAAATGCAGACCTATAGGGTAAATTGATTTATTTTTAAAAATTTACCAAATTTCATCTTATCTGCCACTTTTAGATTATTGACTACTGTTATTTAGAAAATTCAAACTGGTGAATGTTCATTTCCTGCTTCTTGAGTATGTGTAATTTTTACAGAGCTTCCAGTTGTGCCAGTATCTTCCTTGAGGTCATTTTCCACTTTATCCTCTGTCACTAGATCTCTCGCATAAGACATTTATCTTTCAGTTGCAAAAGCCTAAATGAAAGCTTCTTTTTTGACCTTTTAATTTATAAAACTCCACTAAGAAGAAAAATCCATCTAAATTTTTAGGCAAGTCCACAAAATATTTTCTTTCTCAAGAATCAAACACTTTTATGGGAATAAAGATCCTTCAAAGTTTTTAACTCTTCTATTAGAGTTTTATTTTGATTTTCCAGGACTGCAACTCGATTTTCCAGGCATTTCACATATTCTTTCTTCTTTCTGCGACATTCTCGAGCAGCTTCTCTAAATGTAAGCATTAAAAACCAATGTTAGAAAAAAATTCATGTTCTTTAAAGTGGTAAATGTGCTTCAGTAATTTTCCCTGCTCATCTTTTTTTCCTCATTTAAAAAATTGATGTATCATCTGTATACAGTGAAATATAGATCTGAAGTGTAGAATTCAGTCAGTGTGTGTATATATCTATATGTCTTTATTGATTTCAGAGAAAGGGAGGGAGGAGGAGGGAGGGAGAGAGAGAAACATCAGTGATGAGAGTCACTGATCGCTTGCTTCCTGTACACCCTCTGTTGGGGATCGAGCCCGCAACCCGGGCATGTGCCCTGACTGGGAATCGAACCTTGATCTCCTGGATCCTAGGTCAATGCTCAACCACTGAGCCATGCTTCCCAGGCAGAATTCAGTTACTTTTGGCAAATGCATATACCTGTATAACCCACACACACCTATCAAGACAGAACATTTTTATTGCCCCAGAAAGTTCTCTCATGCCCATTCCTAGTCAGTCCTCTCCTCCAGCAACTACTGTTGTGATTTTACCACAAGTGAGACTTTTCCTTACCTAAGACTTCATATAACAGTCATACAACATATACTTGTGTGTGTGGCGTCCTTTTATTTGGTGTATTTTTGAGGCTCCTCATGTTGCTGTGTGCTGGTTTGTTCCTTTCTATATTTGAGGTCCTAGTTCACTGTCTGAATATCAGCAGTTTGTTGATCCATTGTCCTGGGCTGCTTCTAGTTTGAGCTGCTGTGCATGCTCTTGTGCCAGTCTCTTTGTGAACGTATGTCCTATTTCTCTTCAATAAATACTAAGGAGTAAAGTTTATGGGTCCTCTGCTTAATTTTTGACCCACAGATTCTTTAATTTTCCTTTTAAGTTAATTTTAATTTATTGAATACAAATAAATTTTTTCAATACACTTTATTGTAATAAATACAAACAGTGCTTGACACTCAGTTTTGTACATGTCCTCATAGAACATTTCTATGAAGTCACATACAAGTTTTATATACATATAGATAGAAATAAAAAGTATTATTTTGCGTATACTATGTATTGTAGATATTATCTGCAACTTGCTTTTTTACAGTTTTAATGTTGTTTCTATGTTGGTACAAAGATTTTTCCATGTCGACATTTTGTTGTTAATTCCCATTTCCCTAGCTACTAATGCGACTGAGCATTTTTCAAAACTTTTATTGGTCTTTTGGATCTACTCTTATGTAAATTGCCTATTTATACCCTTTGTCCCTTCATACTTTTTGGCCACTTTACAATGAGAAATTACTAGAAAGACAACCTAGGAACTTTCTGTGAATTATACATATTAATCCTTTACCTGTTTTTACATTATTTTCTCATCATTTGACTTCTCATATTTTTATATCATGTCATAAGTGCTCTTTAGTCTTTCTTTTTCTTGGCTTAAATTAAAATGCCATGCACTACATAGTTCTCTCTAAATTTTATCTTAGAAATTTTATTGCTTAATTTTCACAATTAAGTCTTTAATCCATCTGAAATTACTTTTGTTCATTGTATAAAAAATAGGAATCCAATTTAATTGGATTCTTCCAAATGTGGAGTTGACTATGTATCTTTATTAAATAAACCACCCTTCAGAAGTGTACTTAACTAGCACAAAAGGCTATTTCTGGCCTCTCTATGCCATTTGCTAATGTTATTACTGTCTGCCCCTTTGCTGATACCAAGTTTTGATTACAATGGCTTTAGAGTATGATTCAATGCCTAACAAGACAAAGTAACCTCTTTCTGTTCTTGAGCATTCTTGAATCCTTATTTCTTCTTTGTAAATTTTTAGCTTATTTTGTCCAACTTTACAAAGATCTACAAAGAATCTAACTTGAATCACATTAAATTTATGTAAATTCTGGGAGAATGTTTATTAACTGCCTTCATCAAAGAACATAGTATTTTCTGTTCGTTCAGATACTGTTTTACCTGTGATTAAGGTTTTTAAAATGTGGACCCTATGCCTTTCCTGTTAAATTTACTAAGTATTTTATGACTTTTGTCACTAATCTGAATGTAATATTACTTCCCATTATTATTTTCAAGATGGTAATTCATAGTAGAAAAAACCCCACCTTACTAAACTTCCTTATAAATTACTACACTTTAAAATATTTTAATGAAGTAGTACACACAAAAGATTGTATGTGGTGTAGGTATGTTATGAAGCATAGTAAAATGAACACCTGTAAACCTAATACCCAGCTTACTATGAGAAAACGTTATCCATATTGTTGAAGGGCCCTCGGTGCTATCCCTGATTCCATCCATACCCCTGCCTCCTGCCCAGAAGCAATTATTAGCTTTAATCTTCTGCTATTTCTATAGTTTTAGTACATACGTATATGCCCCTAAATTATGTATCATTTAGTTTACTTATTTTCTAAAATTTATTATAAAATATACTTTATGTATGTTGTTGCAACTTGCTTTTTTCACTCAACTTTATTTTTCTAATGTTTATTCATGTCCCTCAGTCATTACAAATGAACACTATTATGCTGTATAAAATGAATCACAATTTATGTACCCATTCTGTTGTTGATGGTTATTTGGGTTGTTTCCCGATTTTTGCTGCTATGAACATTCTTGCACATACTTCCTACAAAAGTCTCAGTACCATACACAGAGTAAAACAGCTGAGTCACAGGGCAGATCCAGGCCAACTGTACAAGATAAGGGCCAATTAATTTCCAAAGTGCTTATACCAATTTACACTCCCATAAGCAGTATGTGAGTTCCATTGTTCAAATCGTTGCCAGCTCCTGATTAGACTTTGGGACAAATGGTACCTATGTGTGTGGTATTAATTTGCATTTCTTTGATTACTGATAAGGGTGAGCAATCTTTCATATGGTTATTAATGATTTGTGTTTTCTAAGAAATGCCTATCTATATATTTTGACATTTTTCTGTTGGGCTGTACTTTTCTTATTTAGAAGATCTTTATATTTTTTCCAAAGAAATATTTTTTTTGGTTAGATATGTTACAAATATCTTCTATAGGTTTGAAGCTTACATTTTCACTTGCTTTACATTATCTTTTAATTAACAGAAGTTATTAATTTTAATGAAAATTCACTAATCTTTCATGTTAATGTTTGTGTGTGCTGTTTTGTTTAAGGGATCTTTCCCTATACCTGAAACCATGAGATTCTATATTTTCACCTGAAAGTTTTAAAATTTCATTTTATTTTTATGTGTTTGATCAATCTAGAATGATTTTTGTGTATGGTGTGAGGAAGAAATCCAGTATTTTTGCACATAAAAATTACTAATTATCCTAACACCATTTACTGAAGAGTCCCTCCTTCCCCCATAATCTGCCCTATCATATCAAGGTTTCATGTGTTCATGGATCTGTTTCTGAGTTCTCTACTCTATTTCATTGGTCATTTTGTTTATCTCAATGCCAGTATCACACTATTTAATTACCACAACTTTAAATAAAGCTTGATTATCTCCTCACCTTATTCTTGTCTGGAATATTTTGGCTGTTCTTGGCCCTTTACTCTTCTATACATTTTAGTATCAACTGGTCAATTTCTTCAAACAATCTTTTTGGGTTTTGATTGGAACTGCATTGAATCTATGGATCAATTGGGGGGAAAATAGTCATCTTTATAATACTGAGTTTCTATATCTATGGACATAGAATATATTTCTCCATTTATTTAGATCTTAATGTCTTTCGAAAACATTTCTTTTGTTGATAAAATAAATGATGCCTTTTAAATATTTACCAAGCTCTTTACTGCTGATGTAAAGAAATACAACTGATTTCTGAAAACTGATTTTATATCTAGCAACCTTAGGGCTCATTACTTCTAACAATTTTTCTGTAAGTCCTTTTGGGTTCTTTTATTGATAGGCAATTATATAAAAAATAGTGTAATATTTTATTTCTTTAATTTAAATCCTTATAATTTTTCCCTTTTTTTCTTGTTTTACTAAACTGGCAAGGTTTCCAGTACAAACTGTTTATTTTTCAAGCTTTCAAATAAATAGTTTGTAGATGATTCTCCTGGATATTCTAAGCAGATGAATATATCTTTGCAAATAACAGTTTTATTTTACTTTTCCAATTTTTTATCATTTTGATGGTCTCTTAATCTTTGATGATTTTCAGGACATCTTTTTTTTCTTTAACTATATATACTTTCCCTTTCTCTATTAGATAACTGAAGATTTTACAAAACTCACTCTATTGTCTGCTTTTCCTACTGACTCTTGTCCCTGAAAGGCAATGTAGCATTATCTAAAACTCTGAACTCAGAAACGTAGACCTATGAGTTTAAATCCAACCTCTATCACTTACTAAGCAATGTAAACTTGGACAAGTAGCTTAACCTCTCTAGGCCTCAGTTTCCTCATCTCAAAAAAAAAGGGAGGGGGAATAGTATTATTTACACCACAAAGATTTTGGTGAAAATTACATAAGGGCTTGGCACATATCATGATGGAGGCCTAACTCCTTGGGTAGTCTGTGATTTTTCAACTTATATTTGTCAGAACTCAATGTATGGGAATTCATTAAAGCTGACTGAGATTGCTTTCCTCCAAGCAATTGGGGCTCTATGGACCTGGACCCATTTTAAAATTATAATTCTCAGCTTATGGGTGTAGCACTTCTTGAACCTCGACTTCGTGAAGAATAACTTCTGATACAGTTTCCCAGCTTGTACAGACAGTCCCAGGCCTCTGTCCCTAGTCTCCCCTGCATACTAAAGGTACACCAATCACAAAGATCTGAATTTATCGTCAGGTTACACGGGGGGCTGCTTCGTGGTCTTGTGCTTCTGGTTTATTCCTGACCTCAAAATAATTCTCTTACTTTCCTATAGGCTCATCCAGTCATTTAAAAATATGGTTTTTATATTTCATCAAGCTTTAAAACTATTACATAGCTGAGGTCATATTGTCAGAAAGAGGTCTCATTCTAGTAACTTTTAACAATTCTTTTGGGTTGCCTAGGTATACAATTATATCATAAGCAAAGAAATACAATTCTTTATTTCTGATATTTATATAACTTCATTTCCTTATCTTACTGCATTTGTTGGAATTTCCAAAATGAGTCTCTGCTTTGTTACCAAGTTCATTTACAGTGATGCTTGCTCTTAGTTTTTAGTAAAGAAACATTTTATCTTGAATTAAATGCATCCATCTGATCCTTTTATAGTAATCTTCATTGTCTTAGAAAATCATCCTTTTATCCTAATTTTCTACCTTATTGGTGAGGAGCTGAAAATAGAATCCTATTGTAATTTTTAAAATTTGTTGTATTTATAGTTACTTAGCTTTTTTTGTTTCTAATATAGTTTATTGGTGTCTTTTTTCTCTCTCCTTAGCTTGAACACATTGCAGAAGGCTACATGTTATATTCTTTTTCTCAAAGAACCACTGGTTTTTCATGCCTGATGTACATATTGTGCATATAGCAATGTTTAAAATACATTTAAAAGAAAAGTAAATGTTCTGGGGGTTAATAACTAATCTATTTTCATGATCAAAATTCATTTTTAGGAGCATTTCTGAATCAGTAAGTAAACTAGGTATTAGGCAGAATCCCACTAATTCTTTCTTCTTGCTGTGGCAAGCAGCAGATTATTATTTTCATTTAACTTTGTCAGCCCAACAAGAACAAAATATATTATTTGAAAAGCTTTGCTTAACAGTGCTCTTCAAAGGACTGAACTCTAGGTCATATATTAAATAAAGAGATTGAGCAATGGGACTCACTGATCCACTGGAAATAAACTAGACATAATCAAACACTCAGTAAAACAAAGCTGATATAAATCTCTCTCCTTATTTCTAATATACAATTCCAGTTAACATCTGGTTATGTTTTGAGATTTACAAAAACATTATCATTCTGGCAGTATAATTTTACTACCCACCTGTTTTTCATCAACCTTATTTCTCTCTTTAATTGGGGGTCATCTGTCTTAGTTGTTTGAGATGTAAGAGTCACAGGAGATGTCATCACCACAGTCTGTGGCAGGGAAGTAGCTGAAGGTGTGGTCCGGATCTGATATGTCTGCATATCTCCTGATGCAGCTGTGTGGCCAAAAGAATAAGTAAATTCGTAAGTGTCTTTAAAAGAACTTTGGGATGCTTTCTATACACACTTGAACATACTTACTTTGTACAACCACCTGGTTGCTGGGCACAAGTATTTGCTGTCCATCAGAGGTCTGTGCATACTGGAGAATTGTTGTACCTTGCTGAGTACTGCCTGAATTTGTCATGGTTAGTGTCTGAAGTCCCTGTACTCCATCTGTGCCTGGACTGGCCAGCTGTAAGGCTCCATTTGGGGCAATGGCAACTTTAACCAAAGAGAGAACATAGCTATTATTAGACTATACAACACACTAATTGCAAAGGATTCATGAAAAACAAAAAACACTATTAAAACAGGCTTGAAAGGAGGTCCACTTGACAACTGTTGACCACTCTGGGTGAACCATATGTAAAAGAAATAAAATGGCATTTCTTTATAAAATTCTATAGTTCAGATGCACCAATCTTAGTAGTCAAAACACATTTTGGGCTCGATGATCCACTCCATGCTGATTGCTAATGTTGTCACAGCACTTCTAGAGTACTAAGAGGGCACTGAGGGCTGACTTTTAAAGGAAAAATAAGTAGAAGGAAACATTAATATAGCTTGTAATTTTTTTCAAAAGAAGCATAAAAAAGCCCTAGCTGGTTTTGCTCAGTGGTTAGCGTATTGGCCTGCGGACTGAAGGGTGGGTCCCAGGTTCAGTTTTGGTCAAGGGCATGTACCTCGGTTGCAGACTCGATCCCCAGCCCCAGTCAGGGAGCATGCGGGAGGCAACTAATTGATGTGTGTCTATCACATCCATGCTTCTCTCTTTTCTCTCTCTCTCCTTCCACTCTCTCTGAAAAGCAATGGAAAAAACATCCTCGGGTGAGGATAAAAAAAAATAAATAAATAAATAAAAATAAAAGATTGTAACAAAAATATTTTTAAAAAGATAAGTGCACATATAGAAATCTTCAAATAAGATAATAAGTTACATAATGAAAACACAAATCCTCATACTCTGTTTCTTAGCTCGGCTCTCTAGTGGTAACTGCTGTTAGACAAGTTAAATGTTATTAAATGATATTTTAAAAATGTAATCTATTCAGTCACTTCCGAGCAAAAATCACCAATAGAGTTAAGTCATCAGAAAGCCACGGCATTACTAAGCTCCCCACAGCCTTTCTCACTGAATTTTACTTAATGTTAATGCTTTCCCTTGAAAGCTTAAATGAAATGCCCCCCATGATGCATGACATCTTAACATTATGCAGTTCCCACATAATAAATCCCCTTCAGAATCTAATGCCTCATCTCTATACGCTCTTTTCAGATTATAGTTATGTAACATGTTTTCCCCTTTTATGCTTTGCCTACCATGAAGCCAAAATACAGTTGTCTGTGTATTTTAATTAAAAATAAAATTTTCAGGAATTTCTAATTATTCCCTCCCTCACTGGCACACAACAAATATTCCCAAATACTTTAATTTATATAAGGTTAGAAGACATTAAAATTGTTTACATGCAGAGATCTGTTTTAAACTTATAATAGCAATTACTTTTTTTTTAATCCTTACCTGAAGAGTGAGGACATTTTTTCCATTGATTTTAGAGAGTGGGAGGGAGGGGGGAAGGGGAGACAGAGAGAGCAGTGGGGGAGAGAGAAACATGTAAATATGTTTTCCCTTCCTTATGGTTTTCCTAATAACATTTTCTATTCTCTAGCTTACTTTAAGAATATAGTATATAATACATATAACATACAAAATATGTGTTTTAAGTTACACTTTATGTTACCAGTAAGGCCTTTGGTCAACAGTAGGCTATTATTTATTAGTAATTAAGGTTTTGGGGGAGTCAAAAGTTATATGCAGCCCAGCTGCCATGGCGCAGCAGCTGAACATTGACCTATGATCCAGGAGATTGAGGTTCCATTCCCGGTCGGGGCACATGCCAGGGTTGCAGGCTTGATCCCCAGCAGGGGGCATGCAGGAGGCAACCGATCAATGACACTCTTGTCATTGATGTTTCTTCCTCTCCCTTCCTTTCTCTGAAATCAATGAAAATATATTTTGGGAAAGAAAAGAGAAAAAGTTATGTGCAGATTTTTACTGCATGAGGAATCAGCACTCTAAACCCCGTGTTGTTCAAGGGTCAGCTGTATTTGTATCAAAATATGTGAAATTATATTCAAATATATAGATATATACCATTTGATGTTACATGTGTGATACTACAGAATTGCTTTCATTTTTGCAACAGATCTTCCTATTCTTGTTTAACATGTCTATTTACCTCCTTGAATGTACACTAAATCTGCATGGTACAATACAGTAGCAATTAGCCACATTTCAACTGCTATTTAAAGTAACTAAAGCCCAGCAGGGCGTGGCTCAGCGGTTAAGCATCGACCTAGGATCCAGGAGATCAGGGTTCGATTCCCGGTCAGGGCACATGCCCAGGTTTCGGGCTCCATCAATGACTCTCTCATTATTGATATTTCTCTCTCTCCCCCCCCCCC